TCGCGAGGTCCCATGGCCACTGGCAGGCCCGGAGGTTCCTGTCCCCCCAGCATGCAGGGCCGGCTGGGCGTTGGCCGCCGGCTCCGTGTCTGAGGCCAGGAGCCCCGTGCTCCGGCTGTCCCTTGTGAGCAGTGTCTCTGGCCTCTCAGAGCGACGGGGACAGAAGTGCAGAGAGAGGTAGGGGATTGCAGGCCGACTGCATAGCAGCAAGTGACTGCTTCCCTCCTCTCTAAAACCATTGACAAGGGCCGGGGATTTAGCTCAGTGGTTCCGCTGCAAGCTCAAGGACCCGAGTTCAATCCCTGGTACCAAAAAAAAAAAAAAAAAAAAAAAAAAAAAAAAAAAAAAATCACTTACAAGGTCGGCACTGGGGAAAAGGAGGCCAAAACAACAGGGATAAAGCTGCCTTAAGTTCACCATCAGTGGGCGTGGAGATGCACACCTGTTCACAGCCCCTCTGGAGGCTGTAGCAGGAGGATCACAAATTTGGTTATTTTTGGTACTGAAGATCGAACTTGGGACCTCACGCTTGCCAGGCAGGTGCTGTGTCACTGAGCTAAATCCCAGGAAGATCACAAGTTTGGGCCCAGCCTGGGCGACTCAGTGAGACCCCACCCCCACCCCCAGCTCACAAAAAGAGTGGATGCTGCAGTAGACGGTGCTGGGAGTACACACCCCTTTCTGCCTAAGGCAAGGTGCTTATTTGCTCTGCCTTGGGGTGCTATGCTGGCCTGCCTGGCAGAAGTTTCTGAAAATTGCTTCTTTTTTGTGCATTTCTTCTACTTTTTTTTGTTTTGTTTTGTTTTGTTGGTTTTTTGAGACAGGGTCTCACTATGTAGTTGAGACTGACCTGGAACTCACTGTGTAGCCCAGGCTGGTCTCGAACTCACAGGAATCCTCCTGCCTCAGCCTCCCGAGTGCTGGGATTACAGGTGTGCGCCACCATGCCTGGCTTCTTCTCCTTTTTGCTAGTAAGGCAAAGATACCTATTGGAACTCGGTACACTTGTGCACACCCACAATCCCAGTACTCTAGGAGGTTGAGGCAGGAGGATTGCAAGTTTGAGCCAAGTGTGGGCAACTTGGCAACCTAGCGAGGCCTCCTCTCAAAGTAAAAAAATAGGGCGGGGGATTTGCCTCAGTGGTTCCGCCCCCTGCTACGCAAGCACGGAAAACAAACAAACAAAGTAAAGAGTAAACAATGGCTGGGGTGCAGCTCAGCACAGGGCTCATCCCCTTCCGCAGGCCCTGGATGACCTACAGGAGGCCGTGGCCAGCTCACACCCCCAGCAGGCAGCTGTCCATCTGGCGCGCTTCTGTGACCAGTGCCATGAGCACCGGGCCTGCCGCTTCCTGGCGGCCCAGAAGGGCGCCTATTCCACCATTCTGGCCGCCTGCAAGCTGGCAGCCGCTGGTGACCAGGGTCTCCTGCTCCTGGCCCTCGGTGCCCTGGCAGCACTCACGGATGGCCAGCCTGACCTCCTGGACGATGCCGGCCTGCGGCTGCTAGTGACCACACTGGCCCAGCACGCCGACTCGGCCGACGTGACCTGCTCTGGGCTCCGTTGCGTCCGCCACGCCTGCCTGAAGCACGAGCAGAACCGGCAGGCCCTGGTGAAGGCCGGTGCGCTGCCCCTGCTGACTGGCGCCATCGCCCGGCACGGCTGCCACGCTGACGTGGTCAGGGAGGCCTGCGGGGCCCTGCGTGTCATGACCTTTGATGACGACATTCGTGCACCCTTCGGCCATGCCCATGACCACGCCAAGATGATCGTGCAGGAAAACAAAGGCCTGAAGGTCCTCATTGAAGCTGCCAAAGGTAGGAGCAGCAGCCATGTGAGCCAGCGAAATGGGGGCTGTGGCCGGTGTGAGAGTGCTGGGTGCAACTCAGTGGGGAGCACGTGCTTAGCATGAACAGAGCCTGGGTTCCCTCCCTATACCACACACACAGAAGACTTAAGAGTCAGGGCTAGAACAGCTTCAGGTATGGCTTGCTCCAGATGCCATCTGCCAAGACTTAGTCCTAGCCATGTGGCAGCCCAACGTGAGGCATCCTCATGCACCCTGGTGGCTCTAGGGGACTTCCAGGCCAGGACTCTTTGGCCAGGAGCTGACTGGGGAGAGGCGAGGGGCAGAGGGAGCTCCCCAAAGGGAAGCAAGAGAGAGGGGTCTGGTGGCAGCTACCGTGGTGGCCCCAGGTGGGGGCTGCACTTGACCTATGAATGGCATTCAGGGACAGATGCTGGCCTAGCATGCATAGGGCCTAGTTCTATCCCTAGCCCACAGAGAAATCAAGTCAGGGATGGTGGCACACTCCTGTCATCCCAGCGGTCTGGGAGGCTGAGGCAGGAAGATCCCAAGTTCAAACCAGCCCAAGAAACTTATGGTAACCCTGTCTCAAAATAAATGGGAATGGGGCAGGGATTTAGCTCAGTGGCACCGTGCCTGCCACCCATGCGCAAGGTCCAGAGCTCAATCCCTGGTACATTACATGGGAATGTAGCTCAGTGCAACAGCCCTGGGTCCAGTTTCAGTATTGTGCGCGTGCACACACGCACGCACCCCTGGAGAACTGCACTCGTGTCTGACACCTAGCACGTGTGCCTGCCCGGCTCCGGGACGATTACAGCAAGCTGCCATCCCCGCCCGGCCCTACCCCCAGAACGCCCCACAGAGCCCCTCCCAGGTGGTGCTGGGAAAAGCATGCCTGCCCCAGGGACAGGGCTCTGCGGGCCCCCATCCCTGTCTGCTGGGGAGGCAAACCTGCCTCGGTTTCCCCTCCACACCTCTGGAGAGAATCAAAACAAGTCCTGGCCATCCGAAGTCAGGTTGCTTTTCTCAGAAGTCATTGCGTCTTTTTTTCATGTTTATTCACAGCAGCGTGGACTAGGCTTCTAACAGAGAGACAGTCTGTAGTGTGTGTATGTACTTGAAGTGCTGTTTTTTCTTCTTCCTGGCAGTGCTGGGGTTGGAATGCAAGGTCTCACACGCACTAGGGAAACACTCACCACTGAGCTACCCCTCCTGCCCTCTTTTAGTTCCTTCTTTTGAGACAAGGTCTCTCCAAGTTGCCTGGATTGACCTTGAATTTGCCATCCTCACCTCAGCCTTCTAAATAGCTGGGATTACAGGTGTGTACTGCTGCACCTGGCAAAGTTTTTCTTTTGAGATAGGTTCTGACCGACTTGCCCAGCCAGGCCTACAGCTTGTGACCCTCCTGCCTCAGCCTCCTGAATAGCTGTGCACCTGGCTGACGTCCCTGTGCAGACGCAGTGGTGTGTTCGTTCCCTTCTGAAGACTTTCAGCTGAGGCCTGTGCACAGCAACACCACCCTCTAACCCCAGCCACTCAGGAGGCTGGGGACAACTCCGAGTTGTGAGACCCTGTCTCAAAATACAGTTTTTTAAAGGGCTGGGGTGCAACTCTACAGTAGTTGCTTTCTAGCATGTGCAAGGCCGGGTTTCAGTTCCCAGCAATCCACACACTGCCCCCGGAAGGCAGCTGGTTATGGCTGGTGATTCCGCGCACAGAATACACCATGGCACATCCAGAGAGGGCTGCAGCCTGGCCAGGTGACACACCCTGGGTATCACAGCCCTCTGACAAGTCACAGGCACCCACCTGTTGGCCCCTGTAGGCTGTGAGCAGTGTCATGGCTGGTGTCCTGTGTGTGCACATCAGCCCAGTCCGTGTGCCCCTGTGGCTGCCGGTTGCACCTGAAAAAATTGTTCCCACCACAGGATGCTAAAAATAATCTCGGATGGAGATTCCACTGTGGCCCTGTTCCAACCTTCGAGTCTGGAGTTGATTCGCAGCTGGTGGGAGGCCAGGAGGGTGCGGTGTCGCGGTGGCCAGCAGAGGGCGCCGTGGGCCGGCCCAGTACCCTGCCTGGTGCGCAGCCTGGCTGACTGCTCCCCTCTCTTGCAGCGCTCCGTGGCAACCCCAGCATCCTGGGTGAGCTCTGCGGCACCCTGGCCCGCCTGGCCGTGCGCAATGAGTTCTGCCAGGAGGTGGTGGATCTCGGGGGCCTCGACGTCCTGGTGACCCTGCTGGCCAGCTGCAAAGACCACCAGGTGGGGCCCCCCGAAGGCTCAGTTTCCATCCTCCAAACTCCAGGAAGCTTCCTGTCCCTCTGGGTCACCATCCCTCGAGCCCAGCACACCAGCCTCTCGCTGCCCTCTGCCCGTTTTCTGCTGGAATGGGGGACAGAGGGGAAGATGTTGGCCCAGCCAGGGCCCAACCCCAGCATGTGAGGCTCTGCTGAGGCCCGCCTCCCTGCCTCAGTGTGCCCCACGTCAGACCTCTGTCAGCAGCCCGGGCGCCCGCGCCTCTGAGGTCGGGGTGAGGCCCTGGCCCCTCTTGGTGCCCTCCAGTTGGCGCCCCCTGCCCGGGACTGGAATGGGGGACAGAGGGGAAGATGTTGGCCCAGCCAGGGCCCAACCCCAGCATGTGAGGCTCTGCTGAGGCCCGCCTCCCTGCCTCAGTGTGCCCCACGTCAGACCTCTGTCAGCAGCCCGGGCGCCCGCGCCTCTGAGGTCGGGGTGAGGCCCTGGCCCCTCTTGGTGCCCTCCAGTTGGCGCCCCCTGCCCGGGACCTGCCGGGGTGACCGGGCCTTGGCCCCGC